ATCCAGAATCATTCTATACAAGTCGTTCACTAAGTGAGTTAATTCAGAAAACTGCATCATTAAATCTTTTGTCAATGAAATCAGTTCAGTAGTACAATAATATTCAAAGTATATTTATCTCAAAATCTATTTGCTGAACAATCTTTAATTGTAATAATCTGATATAGGTTTAATAGGCAGTGATGGTGGTATTATTATTATATTTTTAGCTATAATTTTTCATTTACATCAATAGAATATTTTTTTGAAAGGAATTAACATAGAAAATTGTACCAGTTGTAAAGAATATATGAAAAGGATTCTATAATATTACATGTGAATTTTAAAAGAATAAAAATAAATCATCGTGGTTCAAAATAATATTTTTGTTAAAAGTAACATGCTTTAATTTACATATTGTACTTATCAGTTAATATTTGAGAAAACAATTATTAAAAAAAAATGATTTGGGGACAAAGAGAAAGCGATTTGTTATAAAAATCCTGCAATGCATTCATAGGTGACTCCAACCAAGGTTGTATTAGGGAGATATTCCAGAATATCAGGTATAGCTAATGGAATGTTCTTTTTTTTTGTTCTTACCAATAGCTTGGTAGTTCAATTATTTTGGTCAAGTATTTTATAAAATAAGAATATAATGTAATACAATTAATATTCTTCATGATGGTTAGAGTGAGTGTGTTTAGACAAGAGACTTGCTAAATTGTGATTTTATTTCATTGATTCATTTAAATTCATTTCATCAATAATGTCATTTCATAAATAATAGTATGAAAAATAGCGTGAACTCATTTCATTCTTCAATGCATGAAACACAGGACAATTGAGCTTTGTAGAAACGATTGGATTCACTAAGATAAGATAAGATACTAATAAGAGAAAAGCTGTGTTAGTGTTAGAGATTGTGTATTCAGGCAGGAAAAGTCCCAAAATTTCATTTAAACATAACAAAAATGATTATATATTTCATTTTATTTATTGATTTAATAATAGTGTGCACTCACAAATAATGATTTCACATTGTACATATATCACAAGACAAGTGAGTTTCATATAACAGTGTAATAAAATAACAACATAATGGTTTCCCGATGTAGCAGATAGAGAGTATTTTTATATAGAGAACCAAAATAGAATATTGAATGTGTAAAAGTTAGAGTAGTAGGTAAAATTGGAGTAAAGTATGACAATTGGCCTTTAAAAGTAAAAGCTGAAGTAGGGATGTTAATTGATTGATTTTTCACAATCAATAGTCAAAATTGAAAAAATCGATTATAATTGATTGGCGAATTGAAACAATGATTATCAACTTGCAATCGATTTTTATATTGCGAGTAGCTTTTCTTGATTGTTTTATGTTTATGGCCGAGTTTGAGTTAACTTTTTAGCTACACTTGACAATTAATTGCATCTTTTATATTCAATGCTCGTCAATTAATTTATTTTGTGAATTTATTTAATAATTATCTGTAACATACTTTATGGTACAATAAACATGTCAAATGTGAAATAATTAAAATTTTATTATTAATAAATTTTTTATTTCGTTTCAAAAAAATACTTGATCAGCAGACTGTGAACTAAGTCTGTTTCGCAGCAAAGTAATTGTTGTCTCGCATCAGAAAAAAGTCTTTCTGAAGTAGAAAGTATTGGGAATTATCACGCCAGCATTGTTAATGGCTCATTTTCTTCAATAGGAAGCATTTGAGACAGGTTGGCAAAATGACTGGTTCATTGCTATTAATAAAAATATTAAATATGGTTAAATGTATCACCAATGGGCCACACATTTGCCAACCCTGATTTGAGGCTTCAAGTTTGTCTCTATCTAATTCTATTATTATTATTTGATTTTTAATTCAATTCAATCGATAATAAAAAAATCACTTTTAATCAATTGTGGAACAGATAATCATTTAACTGAAGTTTATTTATGTTGTAACTAAACTCGTTACTGGCAGTGAAAAAAATCTAACGTAGCATTGTACGAATAAAACCCTATTTTATTTGGAATCCGAATTAAATTTCAAAATTTCAGGTGAAGGATCTAAGACAAGGAAGAGAGCTAGGCATTCATTAGTATGGTTTTGAAAATGTGTTGTTTGCTGAGGTGCTCTTTGTATTGACGCCTTAATTTTTTATTGACAAATAGCCCAAATACTGTATCTTATTATTGTTGAGTGAAATTTGTCATGTTGTCTACAATATATGGGCAATTATTATAAGAATCTATCATCATAGGTGATTTGTATATTTGTTTTGCGTAATTATTATTAATATTAATAATATTAAATAAAATGAGAAAGTTGCTCTCGGACGATTTGGAAATACCAAACAACTCGATGTATATAAGAATTGAGTAAAACGGTAATCATCTTGTTTGCTTATTGGAAGTTGAAAATTACTTTAGGGCCTGAATATTTAACCATTGCATCAATTTTCTCGCGCACATAATGAATGATATGATGATGCAATTAAATTTCAGGGGGTCGCGTGGCCCTGAGATTGTGTTGTTGTTAAGGGGCCGCTAAAGCCTTTTCACTTGTCCAAAGCCTCCCAATTTGTGTATTATCTCGCTTGTGAAAAGTTTTAGAGAAATGTGAAGGTGTACAAACACCTTATTCCAAGTTCGAAGTAGAAAATTTCATTAAACCTATGACCACGTTTGCTGTTGGATACGAATATTACCTTGCGCCTGTAGATCCAGACAATAATATCAAGTGTAGGATCAACAACAACATCACAAACAACTACAAACTTCATTCAGCAGCTCTAGCTCCATGATCTCAATCAAAACAATAATCAACTATCCAACCAAATTCATCACCGAACCTATTCAGGAACTGAGCAAAAAACAAAATGGTATTACAAACTCAAAAATTAGAAGCGAAATTCAATAAATCATATTAAGCCGAACAACCGAGTAAAATAGAGTAAGCCGAATATGATTTTATGTTTTTTGAATTAATTATTCTGTGTGGAAGTTAAATAATAAACTAAGGGTGTTCCATTCCTGTCCCTTATTGTATGATACCTTATTAGGTAATAAACAAGATATTTATTATAGTGCTGATCTACATAATCAATAATTTATTTTTAGAAAAACTGTTTTTTAAATTTGTTATTGAGAGAATAAGAAACAACAAATTTGTTGTTGTTCCTCTGTTCCCATTCCTTCAGATCAGCCAATAAAATTAGTTTTTTATCGTGTAACAAGGAACCCTTATATTATATTAAATATTGGTAATACTAATACTAATATATAATAATAATTAATTACAATGACCCTGAAATCTCCATGTGACCTAATGTTCATTATTGCAGTAACTTTCTGAATTATAGTATTAGATTAGTAATAATAATAGGAATTGTTAATCTAAAAAGCAATAAAGAAAATATTATTGTTTGGAAAAATTAATTATTCAGTATGACAACTATACATATAAAAGTAAAATTTAATTATAAATTATTTTTATTTGTTTATTTATTTGTAAATAATGAAATAATGAACGAATGGTTAAAAATATAAATTTTTAGAAAATATATAAATCATTTTTTTTTTTACAAACTAACTATAAACATTAGAAATCACATTCTTTTTTTTCCTCGAGGGGGTTTTTTTTTTAAAATTTGAAATTTTCATTTTAAACAATTAAAACAATGTCACATTCAACATCAACAACCGACAATTCAACAACTGCAAACGCAACTCCTAATTTTAATTTAAGCGATATAATATCAGAAGAGTCACCTCCAGTTTATACACCATATCCAAAATATGGTGAAAAATCAATTGCTTTTGGTCCAGTGAATCCTTTTATACCTGACTCGTCATACACTCCTTTATCGCCACCGACACCACAACCATCGCGATTTGCAACAACATTTAATGCTGGTCCATCGTTATATCCTTCTACTACTCAACCAAGACAAGACATTTCACCACCACGAACGTTAGAACCTTTAATTAATGTTGGTCCACCACGTCAACCAGTTCCAATACAATTGCAACATTCACAAAGCTCGACGACTAGAATAAATCTACCACCACCGCCACAACTTCCACCACAGAATCTTTATTATAGAAACCAACAGCCACCATTATTTATGGATAATTCTGGCCCACCAAGCCAACTATCACAATATTCACTTCAAAATTTTTATTATACGCCACAACCAATGCATTCTCAAATATCTTCTCCAATAAATCCTTATGCACAATCATTGCTTGAAATGATAAATATGAATAATAATCATATATCTAATTCTATATTACAATCAAGTAATACATCTACTTCTACTAGACCATTATATTGTTCTAAATGTAATAATAATAATAATAACACTACTACCGGGTATAAAAAAATTTGTAAAAATTGTTATTTGAATTTATGCTTTAGATCATATCAATAGACCTTTAGATATATCATCATCGTCATCATCGTCATCTGCTACGACGACGACAGCGTTTTCATCCTCCCTATCGACAATACGGAGTCATCCAAATGATCATCAATATAATCAATTATGTTCAAGACTTGGTGACCTTTCTATAGGAGGATGGATATGTTCAAATTGTCAAGGTTAAAAAAATGACATTTTACTTTTTTAAAAATGGTTAAAGACCTTTTGGATTCTGAATTATTATTAATATATATGTTGATACACACACACGTATATAGGAACTGGTACAGAAAAACGATTGTCGCTTGAAAGTCGTTTATGTCCACAGTGTAAAGGCATTGGAAGAAAATTCAGATAAAACCTTATAGTAAATATGAGTAGGGTTAGAAGAGTTTAATTTAAATTTTTTTATTTATATAGTGTAAATATTTTTTTGAATAATTTCCAAATTTTTCAAAGAATTTTTTATTAGATCAAAATAAATAATAATAATATAAATATTTATCATATATCTATTCAAAAACATAAATAAAGTTATTTCCTTTTTTGTAACAGTAATAGTAAATATTGACACGAATTCCTTTAATTAGCGAGGGACTGATCAGCACTACATATTTATGGCGTGATTCACTTACTTGAACAGACAAAACACTACCTTCTTAATCATGTGATTTACAATCCCTGGAACTATAAAATCGGTTATTCTTCAAAATCTTATTGGTTAATCGAGAAAATTCATCCTCATATGGCAAAATTAATGGTATGACCCCTGAATATGCTGTGGCGCAACTCTTCCTACTAAAGAGTTCTAATTAAGAAAGAGTCCTATAATGATATTCGTGCCTTTACTATTACTATTAAATTTGCCCCGTAACTTGTCTATGGAGTTTCCAGGTCCTATCAGAGTGGTGGCATTTATTGATTTATTAATTAATTAATTTCTTATTAAAACAAGCAACAATTGAATCTCTTGAAATTTTACAAGCTAAAAATTTTTTTTATAAAATCGAAAAGCTTTTTCCTGAAATTGGCAACCAATGCAATCTATGATAAATTTAGTAAAGTTCCTAATAACTCTTACCAAAAACAAATATAGATCTATATCACCTCCGAAATTTCTAAATGTCCTATTGTATCATTTGGATTTAGTATTTCTTTGTGATTGTTATGGTTAAAATCATTAAATTGACATAAATCATTATGCTTGTCAATATGCCTTACACATGTGCCAGACCCTCTGGAATAATGGTGTTAATGCTGCCCGTAATATAAGAAACATATTTTTCTACATGAATGAGAATGGCTTGAAATTTTTCAGGTAATTCGGACATTTTCCGAACAGGCAAAACCTTTATCCATTTGTCATCATGGATAAAGGTTTTGCCTGTAGAGGGATATATTATAATTATCCTACCCATGAGTTTGTCGATCATAGAGTGAGTTATCCGGACAAAATCCCGGAGATCAACATCAGAAGGCAGAAGCTTTACCCATTGTTATTCCATGGATAAAGGATTTGCCTTTCGGAAAATGTCCGAATTAGGTGAAATTTTTAGGAGGAGTAGGAGGGGATTTAAATTGATCCACTGCTGTACATACATGATTGTGGTATGAAAATCTCGTTGGCGCAGCAGCAGCAATGTATTTTCTGTGTGATTCCGATTTAAATGTTTCTCTCAATTTGTAAAAAAAAAAATCAATGGACAAACTAATAATAACGATTATAGGCAGTAAAAATGATACACTAAGACCGCCAGTAGATCCTTTCTATTAGTTCACCAAGTATTATGAAACAGATAAAAAAAAAATTCGTCCAAAATGTTTTTGAAAAAGTATAGTGTGCATGCCAAAAAAAAAATGTCGAATTTAAAAGAATCGGACGTAATTGGACTTTATGAAATTTCACGTATTTCTAAAGCATTTGGCCCTTACTAGAACTACTATATGTATCTTGCACGCACGTAAAACATAAATAAACTTTAATTATTAGCAATTTATTTTTTATTTAATAATTTCGTCACCGTCAGAAAATCTAACTTTTTTTGTATATTTAACATTATTATTATCATCGCCATTGCTACTATTATTATTACTGTGGTGGTTTAAATTGATTTTGGCTCGATGATTTCTAATTAATGATTCTTCATGTTCAGCTCTTTGCTTCAGTCTTCTCTGATCTCTTTTAATTCGCATCCTTAATAAACTAAATGCTATAATAATACTTAACACACATCCAGCGCTACTAAAATAGAAAGCTGTAGAATAACATGATGCACCCTTGCAATCTTTTTTATCGGCGTGGTAATCCAAATTAAGCCCAAATATTAAATTTAATAATTGCCCTCCAAAAGCTGGTGCCTATTAAACAAATAAAAAAATTTATATAAAAATTGAATAAGTAAAAGATATATAATTTCATTATTTTTTTTATTTTTTTAAGAGATTCTTACATATGACATGAATCCCCTTTTTTTTAAAAAAAAGAAACTTGGTTAATATTAATAAATAATGCACGTAACAAAAAAAATATTTCCTATTTCGATTAACATTGAATCAATTACCAATTAGATCCAAATCTGGCATGACCAAACCATTCACTAATAATAGTAGGAGCTATACCAAACATGAAGCCAAACCCCAATCCAACAAATACACTAGAGATTTTAATAATATTCAAATCATTGAACAAAAATCCGGCTATAAATTGACCACTTAACAACAAAATTCCTGAAATGATAATGAACCATAACCTTCTAATATTATAAGCATATTTTGTGATGTCGGAAAAAAATCCTGCTGATAATCTCCCAAGACAAGAACAAACTGAAATTATAGAAACATGTAGATTTTGTAATCGTTGTATTTCTCGTTCATGATATGGGTTGGAAATATCGGTATCGATTGAAGAAAAATAAAGCGTTTTGACAATGATGCCAACGTTATTAATGTACATTAGTCCGCTTCCGCCAATGAAGAATAATGTTAGAAATAATAGCTGTGCATCGAAATTTTGGAACAGACCCCAACTACTAATTTCATTATGTTCATGGACTGCATCAGGTAAAAGTGGCGTGCGTTCATTAATAAAATTATTGTCATTTTCATCAACGATAACAATATTACTCTTGCTACTATTGTTGTTAATTTTAGTTTTCGCAGTAGAGTTATTTGTTGAATTTTCTACGCATGAATCTTCTTTGTACATGTTATTGTTGTTGTTGTTTTTTAAGGAATTGATGGCATTAACAACTAGTTGATCATGTTGTACCGATGGATGTGGCAAAGCAACAGTTATAAACCAACTTCCAATAAATTGGCATAACCCAACAGTAATTGCGACAAAAAGTAAGAAATGATAAGTATTTGTTCTGAAAAATAAATTATTGAACTGTGAAAACATGAAAGCAGAAAGTCCAAATAATCCCAATGGAGTGCTCAAAGCGATTCCTCGAAATGTTGATAGAATCGAAACATTTCTGGTCTATCATTAGAAATAATCAATCGTCAATTATTCAATGTAAATTTTTAAAAAATGATTAACTTACGATCGTAGTAAGTGCTGATAAAATTCCTGGTCGTGATAATAATATAATCAATCAATCAATCAATCAACCAATCAATCAATTTATAAATTTATAAATCAATGCATTATAAATAAATAGATCGATTTACCAGCTGAAGATGCCATTCCTGCAAAAAATAAATAAATGGCGCATAATAAAAATGTTGGCAAAGGTAAAGTTCCGTTGTAAGTTAATGCAACACATAAATAGCTTGTAAAACTAAGGATTGCTGCCATCAGACAAATTCTATATAATATTTACAATGATCAATTAATTTAATTTATGACATTTAAAAAGTATATACATTGATATATTGATATATAACCTTTTCGATCCATAATTATCAGCAATATGGCCAAAGAATGGGCTGCTCAAGAAAAATCCATAATTTGCTGCACTTCCAATAGTATTTATTTGAACAGAATTAAATTTCAATTTCTCTTGTAATTCTGTGCTAAAAGTACCAAATAAATATTGCGTCCCGCTGGCAGCAGCTATTAAAAGTGAACCGAGATATGATAAGTTAATTTTGGTATTTTGAGATAACTCCATTAGTTTTTTTTTTTTTTAAAATTGAAATTGGGAAATTTTTTTATTATGTATGGGTATTAATTAATTTTAGTTTAGCATAATAATGAGTTTATGTAAAAGCTTCATCATCATTATGTCATGGATAAATTACTATTACTTAAATTTAAAATAATATTTTTTTTTCGTTTTTTTTACGTTTTTACATTTTTGCTAATAATATAATAATAATAAATGGAAGTTGATTTAAAATGTAATGTTGCTCAATGTAGAAAAAATTTAAGTTCTGAAGGCCGCGCGTGCGTAACTACATGTTCTCGTTAAGTAGATTCATATATATATAATTTAATACAACATTTATTGTGTTCCTCGCGATGTTAAAATATTTATTAGTTATGTAATATATTCTCGTAAATATTTTTCGCAAATTTTTTTTTAGATATATTTTGTGGTAATTATTTCTTTCTAATCTAATCATAAACCCACCAACACCATCGTATCCATTATTCACAAAGAAATCATTAAATGTTTTTTCGCATTATAATAGTTGATTGTGCAAATAATACATTTACATCGGCTTTAGTTTGTCCTGCTTGTGAGACCAGTCTTACTGAAAAGTTTGAAAAAAATTTAATTCTTGATACTACTAATTAATACAGTAAAATAGACACTTTAACAAATTAAAAATATTCATAAAATAGCGATGATATTGTATTCACAGATTTAAATCCAAATGAAGATTATAAAGCTGTAAGAATTTATTTATTTTTTTCTTGGGAAAAAATTTCAATTAATTAATTTACATGTATTTTTATACTCGATGTTAGTCTGTACTATCAGGCCTAAGACCAGATATCATAGTGGAGATTTGTTCACGTTCATTATCATTTTGGACATATCAAACAACTCAAGAAGCTTATTTCCAAAAAATGTTGTATAAAAATTTACAAGAAAAATGTTCACAATTAGAAAAACAAATGCAGTCAGTAATAAGAGACGCACAGGAGGAAATTGCATGTAAGATTACTATCTACCGCGTAATAATAATAATGGCAATAGTAACACGCACAAACCGTATATATTATAATTATTATTATTTATAAAAAATGATTGGATTAATTAGCATTGAAATCTAAAGTACAAGGTAATTAATTTATTAATAATCATATTTTTATATTTTATATAGTAAAAATCCCTAATTAATTAATTTTGATTAATTTAGCGATACAAAAAGATCTGGAACTAGAAAAGCACAAGAATCATGATTTTGCTGAACAATTACAAGAAAAAACACGACAATTTTCAAAATTACAGGTTGATAATTACATGTATATACGTGCTATACATGTTATAATATACCTAACAGATAATTTTTTTGAATCAAGATTATGTATGACAAATTAAAACGTCGCTCTTTAGTCCCAGCAATGCAACAAACAGTACAAAATACAAATAATGGTGATGGTAATGGAATCACTGGAATTGGAAATGTAAATATATGTGTATTTTTATCTTTCTGATTTTTAATAATCTAGTAAATAGTCTTACGCAAACGCGTAAATAATGTAACTCGATTGCTAGCAACAAGGAACAAATAGATTATACGGTAATCCACAATCATGGAATTTGAAGAATAATTCTCAAGGTAACATCCAGAATTGATTAATTATAACATTATATACTTATAATTATGTGTGTGTATATATAGAAAAGCTCCATTACGAAACATATGATCATACAATGCCTAAACAACAGCTCACACACCACCAACACCATCAACAACATCAACGTCAACCACAACATCAATCACAACAAAATCTTTCATCATCACAAGAATATCGTCTAAATAGTGATCAAATTCCATTCGCACCATGTAATGTAAATGGAGGACGTAAAACAATTGATGGTAATGATGCTAATAAGAATTTTCAATCTAATGGTAAATTTTATTTCCTAAATTATTTCTAAAATCATTAAATTTTTTTAAATAATAATAAACAGCACACTTTCCACCAATAAGAAATCCTTTTGTAATGAAATCAAATACCGGAATGAGAGTGATGGCACCATCAGGAGGAGTGAGATAATCAATCAATTAATAACTAATTTTGTTATTATCATTTTGATATCCTATTCATTTCTTTGATAGTGTTTAAAACATTGCTTTTGTTTGTTTCGATTATACATCCATTCAAAATCATTTCTTCAAGAATTACATGAACTTTTTCAAGATTAAACATAATATCGATCTCACACTTTTTTTTTTATAAGAAATTTATTAAAAATTTTTATAAATAATTTAAATTTAATTAATTGATTAATTATTATTATACATACCACTTTATTATCAAAATATGTATTTAATATTTCTTTAATTAATTAATTAAATTTAACTATTAATAATTAATTAATAAAATATAAATAATATTCACCAACAACATAAATTCCATTTACCAACAAACGATTGAATTAATTCTAATATAGAAAAATGATTCTAAAAATTATTTAAAATTATATTAATTCACCATTACCATCAATGTCACTATTAGAATAAAATAATAATAAAAACCTCATCATTGTCAAACCCAACAATAAAAAATAGCGATGCATATCTTCTAAAGGCTGAAAATAACAATTCCCCAAAACAATCATTAATTAATATTTTTCAATATTTATCCAAACAATAAATTAAACGCACCTAATTTAAATTGTCTATAGTCAAATATTGAGCACTGTTATTATATACATATAAATATATATCCTTTGTCATTATGATACGAGTAATAAATAAATAAATTCTAAAGCCAACATTCATTAATGGTAAACTAAATTTTTACTTGTAAATCTCCTCTTTTCATACATTTACGTGTAATTTCTGCTTCCGTAAAAACCCTTTCTTCTGCTTGCATGGGAACATTAGTATAATATCTTGAAAAGCGCGTTTGTCCTTGTTTATTCACCAAAAGAACAAATTTCAACATAATTTATTAAAAAAAAAAAATGGGACAAATAAATATAAAATTGGTTTTAGGTTGTGCGTGTAACACGGATAAATAGTCCCATAATAATAAACTTGACAGCTGATTTATGATCGATCCAGAATATTTTTTTTAAACTATTTACATAATGGCCTTTTGTCCACATGTTTCTACTGTAAACTTACAACCTCCTTCAGCATCAACTCAAGTTCATAAAGAGGAATGTACACTATGTTTTGATTCTCAGGTATTTTTCTGTAAAATGTTATTGAATTCTGTTTTTTTTTTCTTTTTTTGATACAACTAAAAATTCACATTTTTAAATAAATAAATAAATTAATTAGGATCTATCTCCTGGAATTGATGTTTGTTTAACATGTTTTAATGCTAGTTGTCCTGGCCCTGAGCGTAATCATTCTCAAATTCATTATCAAAAAACGAATCACCCACTTGTTTTAAATATTCGTCGTTTGATCAAAGATAAACCAAAAAGAGTAAGTTACTTTGCAATATCAATATTAAATTATGTGATTTTTTTTGATTTTTATGTTATAATTTTGAAAATGTTCTAAAAGCCTGATGAAAATGAAGAACCTCCTCAAAAAATAAGTAAACTTGCAATTGTACCCGAATCTGAAGAAGAGAAATATGAATTTTTGACAAAAGTTAAATGTCATACTTGTGACGGAGTGGAAGTTGATAAAACATTAGATAATGTTAGAAATTCAAATTTATAATTATTTGAAAATTATTTTTAAAAAATCTTTTTATACGATTAATTAATTTTCATTTAATCTTTCTAAATTTATTGATTCCTTTACTCAGCTTCCATTTGTGATTGATTCCATTATGCTTTCAATTTCAGCCAATAGACAATCAGAAATCAAAGCTTGGGAAGAAGAAATCACTGCATGCGAGCATACACAAAATTTAGTACAAGAGCCTCCAAAAGCTTTAGAATCACAAAGTATGTTGTTATTTTTATTGCTACAGTCATACTCCCATATAAGAACCCTCCATCCCATCTCTATAAGAACACATATGTTGGGAACCAATTACTATTAAGCTTACAGAAAAATACTTCCATTTAAGAACAACCTCTCTATAAGAACATTTTTAGAAAAAGATCATGTTCCTGACAGGGTTCTTATATAGAAGTATGATTGTACTCAAGAATTGTTAAAATAATAAAAACCATGAAATCATAATAATATCAACAATGACAACAACAAAAATATAACTATATTATTTTATACATTAATTAAAATATAGATTTTGCACATTGTAAAGATTGTGATTTAAAGGAAAATTTATGGTTATGTCTTGTTTGTGGCAATATTGGTTGTGGTCGTCAGCAATATGGTGGAATCTCTGGAAATGGTCATGGATTAGCTCATTTTGAAAGTACAAATCATCAAATATCTTGTAAATTAGGAACAATTACTCCCGAAGGAACTGCTGGTAAAATCACCTAAATATTTATATATATAAATTGATGTTAAATAAAATTTAAACCTTTTTTTCTTTTATAGATATTTATTGTTATGTCTGTAATGACATGAAACTTGATAATGAGGTAGTCAAACATTTAGCAAATTTTGGAATAAATATTGAATCACAACAAAAAACCGAAAAAAGTATTACTGAGCTTGTATGTATTACATTTATATAAAGTGGTGGAGTGTTTGAAAAATAATTTATAAATAACTATTTAAATCATACATGTAATTTTCTTTTGATTTAAGCAACTTGAACAAAATCTGAAATTTGATTTCAGTATGGTAACTGAAGATGGTAAAGAGCTTGAACCATTATCTGGTCCTGGCTACACTGGAATCAAAAATCTTGGAAATAGGTAAATAATAATACTAATAAATAATAATAAATATTATTATTTGATTATTTATTTTATAAGTTGATTCTTAAAATAGTTGTTACATGGCTTCAGTTCTACAATCTGTATTTTCCTTGGCAAATTTCCAAGAAAGGTAAGTTTATTTCTTATTATATTATTTATAGATCCTCTTCTGATTTAATTTGAAACAAAATGATATAAATTAAGATATTTTCCAACTGCGTACGAGCACTATTTACAATGCACGCAAGAGCCAGCCAATTGTATACAATGTCAGTTATCAAAGATTGCTGATGGTTTATTAAGTGGCCGTTATTCTAATTCTAATGAAAAATTGGGCTCAGAGGATGATAAACGAGAAGATAATGGAATTAAGCCTGCAATGTTTAAAACTCTTATTGGAAAAGGTCATGAAGAATTCTCTACAATGAGACAGCAGGTTCATATTTAATATATAAAATTTTTTTTAATAAAAATAGTTTTTTTTTAACCATTGTATTATTTATTATTTATAGGATGCATTTGAATTTCTTCAATATTTAATCACTACAATAGAAAGAAAGGAACACAATAATCCTAAGAATGATCCTACTCGATCTTTCAAATTTAGTATTCAACAGCGTTTACAATGTTTGGAATGTAAAGGAGTACGGTACAAAAATAATACCGAGTCATATATATCAGTACCAGTTCCTGCAAAAAGAATTGCTGGAATTGAGGAGAATGCAGAAGATCGATATGAACCAGTGACGATTGAAGAATGTTTAGACTCGTATACTGCAGATTCTATTATTGAATATTTTTGTCCTGCTTGTAACAAAAAAGCTTCAGCAATAACGTATGATTATATTATAATAATAATCAAATTATGGCTTGAAAGTTATGGAATTGTTTGAATTAATTATATACATCATCAATAATAAATATTTACGAAAAAACAATAATTTCTCTTTTAGTAATACAAAATTCTTGAGTTTTCCCGAAATACTCATAATTCATGCTCGTAGATTTGAACTGGTGAATTGGGTTCCTCGAAAAATAAGTAAATATTTTTTTAATTATTACTATTATATTTTTTTTTTAAAGAAAACAATTATCCAACATTTATAAAATAAACAATTACTATTATTTATTTAGGTGTCCCAATACTCTTTAAAAAAGATACCTTGACATTTGATAAATATTTAGCTAAAGGTAGACAAGAAAATGAAACTTTACTTCCAGAAGAAAGTTCAACTGGTTAGTATTTGTTTTTGTCTTTTTGAAATGGTTTTTTAGTTTCGAAATTTTGCGTAAAAAACATATTATTTAATATTTGTTGTTTTTAGGTAATCAAGAACCATCTATAAATGAATCGGATCTTAATCAGTTGCTTTTAATGGGATTTCCTGAAATTCGGTGTAAGAAAGCCTTGATTGTAACTGGTAATAACGGAGCTGATGTAGCAATGAATTGGTTGTTTGAACACATGGATGATCCAGGTTATTTAATATTATCATTATAAATTACATATATGCACATTTATTTATTTTAATGATTATGTTTATAAGTTAAAAAAATTTATTATTTATATTTTTTTAAAAACACAGATATTGATATTCCAATGACTATAAATAATAATAGTGGAAGTGCTTCAAACACAATAGAGTCTTCTGAAAATGATATAATATCCTTAATGGATATGGGATTTTCCAGATCTAGAAGCAAGAAAGCTTTAATGGAAACTGTTAGTTTTTATCATTATTTTTATAATTGTTATTATAATCATTATAACAATAAATAGCTATTTATACATATCTCATGTTATATTATTAGAACAATAATGTAGAACGTGCTGTTGAATGGTTGTTTAGTCATAATGATGATGATGATATTTCAACAGAAAATTCAACTATGCAACAAAGTCCCAATTCTAATGATACATATGGAGGTTTATATTATTTCCATAAATAAATACATTTATTTATTTGCTTTCAAAAGTTACTAATATTTCTATTTATCTTATAGATTCAAGTTTACCAGCAACATATAAACTTCATAGTGTCATTTCACATAAAGGAACCTCAGTACATTGTGGACATTACGTAGCACATGTACGAAAGTCTGATCAATGGGTCTTATTTAATGACAACAAAGTAGTTGCTGCACCTAATCCTCCTATTGAAGATTCTTATATTTATGTATTAGAAAGGATTCTCGTTATTGATTAATCTAAATTAATTTTTAATATCTTTATTTTAATACTTTTCTTTTTCAAAGTGAAATTTTTTTTTATAAATATATATATATATATATATATATATAATCGAAAGGAAAAATTTTATACAAATTTAATATATATATATATAATTAAATATAAAATAAAAAATAATTTCAACTTTCAAACAATATCATCATCATCAAGAAACTCTTCACTTTTTCGTGACTGGTTTAGTAGTAGTACATGATCATCATGGTGATCCAATTTTTTATTACCAGAAGACAAGATCTTTTCACCACTAATATATAGCACCAAAGCAATTATAGACAACAATGTCATGCATTGAAACATTCTCTCAGGGCTTGATCCACTATAAATAAGACCACCAAGAATTGATCCAATACCAGAAGCTAAACAATAAAATATACCAGAACATAATCCTAAATAAGTTGCTTGAAGCTCTTTTGGTGCAAGATTAATGGTAATTTCTACACCAGATGTCCAAACTAATGAATACAATGCTCCTTGTAACTTTTTTTTTTACAATATATATTTTGATGGCTTTAATTGTTAATATTTAGTTTGAAATTCATTTTTCATATTATATATATATATGTGTGTGTGTAATAATAAATACCATTTCTATTGGTAATGCCATCCATGGTTTTAATTGAGTGCTAAGAAATCCATATAATCCAACTCTAATAATTGAAGCAAGTTGTCCTGTAATCATCATATATTTAGGACCAACAGAATCTAATAATTGTTTTGCATAATAAAATACTACAATTTCTAATGATACACTTGTAACTTGACTTAATCCTAAAATAGCTCCACTAGCACCAAAATTTTCTTAATAATAATAATAATGTTATTAAGCATTACTATTTAAACACATTAGTTTTTTTTATAGAAAAAAAAATTACAAACCTGAAAGATAAATAAAAAGGTAGACAGCCACAGAAGCTTTAGAAATTCCAATCAAAAGCATAATAAACAAAAAATATAAAAAATAGACATTTCCGAATAATTGAGATAAAGTTGATGATACAAAGTTGACGGAAGGAGACTTTATCTTCCCTTTTTTCAAGTATGATGAATGCTTATTATTAATGTCAATATTATTAATAATCTCACTATTTGGTTCCTTCTGTATATCAAACTTTTTTTCCAGATTATCATCATCATCATCGACTTTATTGCCATCATTATCAACTTTATTACCATCATCATCAACTTTATTGCCGTCATCATCAACTTTATTGCCATCATCATCAACTTTATCATTATCATCATCATCATCATCATCATCATCATTACTTTTTGAATAATGATAATTGTCATCCAAATCATCAAGAGGTATTGATTGATGATCATATTGTTGATTAAAATTAAATTGAGAATCATTGGTTTTAATTATGATCAAGATATGGAAACTTATAAAGAATAAATAACCAAAAAAGATTATATAAATGGTAGTCAGGTCAATTAAAATGCCAAACATTGATGAAATTACACCACAAGCAATGGTACCCCATAAACGCTGTAATTTTATAAAAACGAACCATTATATAAATCATATATATAAAGAATAAAATGAAAATGAAAAAAAAAGATTAAAATAATAAATTACCTGACGACCATATTCTGATTGTTTTCCTTGGTTTTTCAAAATTCCTACATAGATCAAATAATAAAAACCCGTAAATTTGAATATATATTATTTACAAACATGCACACATACCAATTGAAAGATTATCAATTAATGGAGCTATTCCACCACTAAATGAAGCATAGATCAAAAATAAAACAAATAATCCTCTAAAACCAAAATTTTGTCCAATCAAAGGCATGGACATTATAAAGCTGGCCGCAGAACAGGAACATATTAAAAGAATTTTTTTATGATAATTGTATTTGTCTGCTAATGCCTAATAGATTTTTTATCAATGAATTAATAGATTAATGTTTTTGTATTTTTGATTTGTTGAAAGATATTTTGATTTTGTTACTAACTGTCCAAATTCCTGAACTCAAAAACTCCATGAAAGGTGTAGCAGACATTAAAAAACCAATCTGTGTTTTTGGTATTAAAAATGTTTCTGAAAGAAACAACGACATATATATGAATGAAGAGCAATAAGTACCAAGTAATGAAACATACAATAGTTTGAGTCGTAAGTTTGGGATTGAATTCATTTTGCTAAAACTGCACCAAAACAACCAGGCAAAGCATAAAAGGGTTTCTGGTACAATTATTATTATTATTATTATTATTGGTAATCTAATTTTTTTTTGGTCTGGATGCTTTTCTTTTTAATATTTATTTATTTTTTAAATTTGGATTAGTGTGAGTTTGTATTACATTAATATTAATTTGAGTTTGACTCGACTTAAAATTTAATCCACAGATAAACAATTGGAAGGCCTGTGACTTCCAAACCTTCCAAAGCTTTCCATAGGAACTTCCAATTCCAATGCATATCATTGCATTAAAGGTAGCCTATAATTTGGTGATTAATAAAACGTGCGAATTTATTATATAACACAAATCCTGCACTCAATTTCCTACACTGACTTGGATGATTAAAAAATTTTGGGGTTAATTTTTACCAGATAGCATGCTTGCTATAAATTAACTTTTACAAAATAATTAAAGCTTTGGACGGAATCTGGAGGGTTAAGTGTCAACCCGAATGTTTTAAAGACAAACCCGAGACCGACCCAAAAATTCGGTTTAATAAGAAAATTTTGCGATTCACATAGATTTAGATTAATTTTATTCCCTAAATTTTATTAATTAAATATAAAAAGCAAAACAGTTATATTGGTTTAAAAGCTACAATTGGTGTTGTGCGTGACGCAAAGTACAATTCGTGATGCAAGAGACGCAAGATGTAATTCAAGACAAATCGTGACGCAAGGATGCAAGGTAGTTATGGTGACCGGAACTAATCCATATGCTTGCTATAAATTAACTTTTACAAAATAATTAAAGCTTTGGACGGAATCTGGAGGGTTAAGTGTCAACCCGAATGTTTTAAAGACAAACCCGAGACCGACCCAAAAATTCGGTTTAATAAGAAAATTTTGCGATTCACATAGATTTAGATTAATTTTATTCCCTAAATTTTATTAATTAAATATAAAAAGCAAAACAGTTATATTGGTTTAAAAGCTACAATTGGTGTTGTGCGTGACGCAAAGTACAATTCGTGATGCAAGAGACGCAAGATGTAATTCAAGACAAATCGTGACGCAAGGATGCAAGGTAGTTATGGTGACCGGAACTAATCCATAGTTTGGACCTAATTTCTCCCATGAAAATTTTCTGACGAAATTGGCGAAACATACTGCGGACGAAAACTAAAACCCTGCTACTATTGTTTAATTTCCAATGTTTATCAAACAAAAAAGAATTAATTTTTTATTATTAAATTATAAGATAGTAATTAATAAATATATATATATAAATAAAAAATATTAGTAAAATAATAAAAAATATTAGTAAAATAATAAAAAATATTAGTAAAATAATAAAAATGCAGAATCAAAGTTTATTTATATTAATAAAAAATCACAAATATTATTAAAACGAAAGAAGCTCTATAGATCACATGTCCAACATACGATTAGACAGACTTAGATAAATCTGTTTCATTTATCACACAATATAAAACTTTGCACATAGGGTTGACAATTTAACCACAGTTTACAAGCAATTTTTAAATTTCATCACTAGTGTTTTCAGAACCAAACAACATCATTCACATTTGTCATCTTTTTTAATTTATTTTTGAGTCCAAAAAAATCGATTCGCGTCTGTCCCAAAAAAATCTTGTACAACACTAAGTGCCAATAACAACTATTTAAACGCGTCAATCTCATCTCTTTTTTTTTTTTCAAAACAACAGCAAAAACAAAAAAGATCCAAATGAAAGAAATCGATAGGCGAGCGCTATTTATTAAAAGAATGGTGATTGTCGCTACTCGTCGTCATTCTGGTTGATTTAAAAGAATGATGATTATCACCACTTGTCATCATTCTAGTTATTTAAAAGAATGATGATTATCGCCACTTGTCGTCATTCTAGTTTACCTAAGGGATGGTGATAGTGGTGGTTGAGGTATTTGGATTCACCGTACAAGGTAATTTTTATTTGCAATGTTACATTATATCTCAAATGGTAACATGTTTTTACTTCAAAAACTCAATTCCATTATTATTAATTCTTCACAATTTAAAAAGATTTAAGCTATATATCTATAGAATTGATAAAGAAAATTACTGGTGCCTGATCACGAAGAATCTGATTATGGGAATACTGGAAAAATTAATGGTAATTATTATATAATAATAATAATAAAAACTCTAATGATTTCCCCCCTCAAAATAATTTTTTTTAAATTTTATTTTTGTTAATAAAATTTAGTGTGGCAACAAGTATTGATCTAGTCAATAGATCAGTATCATGGTCGACAACTCTGCACGGAGTAAGACATTTCTAATTTAACAATAATAAAGCACCCCTTAGTTTAGAAAAAAAAATTTTTATTTTTTCATATATTTTCTTTGGTAAAGCTTTTTTTTCCATATATTATATTTTTCAATTACACCTTTGGTAATTAGATAGCAGATAAAATAAATAAAAATATGAGCTTTAACATTATCATATCTTTTACCTGTAAAAAGTAGTTCCTTTGTGAGTGTGTTTAATCTCGAATACTTCCCAATAATTGGTGATTTGTTTGAATATGATCCAGAAAAAACTAAACGTTTCGAAAATTTTATATTGACAACGGTTTTGTTAATAAAGGTGATAAAAGTATTAATAGCAATTAATAAGCAAAATAAAAAAAAAATTTGGATATTATGGAAATTTTTTTGAAAATAGTATATGATGCAATCATTAAAATAATTTGGCTTGAAACTTCTGCAAATAATTGAAGTTTCAAAGTGTATTTATCAAAAAATGATTTATCTGACTGAAATAAGATTTATAATTAAAATCAACGCTCCAGATGGCATTAATTTATTTAAATGACATAATGATAATTATTTAGATTCACTATGATTTTTTAAGTCAATTAAAAAAATTTAAATTATTTCTGTATATAATTATATCTCACCAAAGTTAACTGAAAATTTTTTTTTTTATATATCTTCGCATTTGTTATAATCATCGATATATCTACATTCATTTCTATATATATTTTTATAGAAAGAAACTAACCTTTTGTTGAAATGATACATCTTGGATACATCTTGGCATCACGGTTGCATATTGCGTCATGAATTGCGTCTGCGTTACATTTTGAATAATCCCTTATAATATTACACGAAATTTTCGATGGAATTTTTTTAAAACACTAACTATAAAAGTAAGTGATAGGTTCTACAATTTGTTAACTGGCAAAATTTCAAGGGTGGTCAATAAGCAACATATGCACCAAACATAAAAACAATTGAAACGTCCACCATGCTGCATTTCTCTCAAATCTATGAGAAAAAAATTTTTTTTTTAAATCCAACATGTTCAAATTTTGAGTATAGATGATCCGAATTGTAACCTGATTAAAATTTTGCAAGGTGTTTATGTACCATGTGAGCTAAAAAAAGGGTGTGTAAAACATATATTATTTAAAACCATTTATTAGCTTGGTACCAGGGTTGGCCGCGTAAAAGGATAAAATATGACTTGACAGGTGACTAGTGGTATAGCCAAGTGGACCATTAGGTTACGCGGCAAGTCCTACTTGGTACATTTGTTCGTGCAAAAAGAAAAGTCGAAGAACTTGTGTAGTAATATTATTGCAGAACCTCATCGTGCTCATTAAAAAAAAATAATTAAATCTTCAAAGAAATAAAAATATAACCGATAAAGAGATAAATAACAATTCAAAATTATTGTTTAGTACTAATAATCAGTTATTATAATTAATTGAGGAATGGATGAATAATTAAAAACTTTTTATGATTGCTTACCTTCAGTATTTACATGCTGTAGTAATATTCATTTATCATCTTATCATTTGAAATGACTATATATATGAAATGTTACATTGGTATACTCCATTTCTTTGGTATAATTTGCTAAAATAATTAAAAAAAAATCTAGTTTTTTATTATAGAGCTGATGATTCCAAGTATGATATTTTTTATTATTTGCACTTTGGAATACAAATAACTTTGTAGCCAAAAAGGATTGTGTTACGCGATCAAAATTAAAAATTAATTGCAAGATTACAAGGATGAGCATTAGTAGTATTGGTGATTTACTTCCAGACAATGTGAATTCTCTGATTCTAGGAGAACATGAACGTCGAGGTTCAGACAGTGATATAACTTTTCCACTCAGACATCCGCTTAGACCAAGTTTTAAACAAAAGTAAGTCTTTATTTTAGTAATTATAGATTTGTTGATGTTTATATATATATGTATGTATATAATTTTAGATTTCGAGCACCTTTGGTAAAACAGATCATTCAACAAATTGTTAATGAAAGATTAGAAAAGGCTATATATAATAAAGATCAGGCACCAGGCTGGGCTAATGAAATTGCAGAAGAAATTAAAAAAAAGTTGTTAGGTATTATTATTAATTTAAAAATAATGTCATTATACTTAGTAATTAGCAATTAATAATTAATAATTTTATTTTATTAAATTTAAGAGTTGGAACTTAATCGTTACAAATATATTGTCAATGTATCAATTCTGGAAAATAAAGGTGCAGGTGTTAGGTAAAGGTTAAAGATTTATATATTTGAGAGAATGAAAAGTGGAGTTTTTTTTTTAATTAATCCATAAATTTTAATATCATTATTAAAAGAATGCAAGTTAATTGTTTATGGGATTCAGATACTGATAATCTTGCACAAGAAACATTTAAAAATGTATTTATTTATTTTTTTATAATATATATTTTTTTTAAAAAAAATGTTTGCTTTAATTGATTATTTTTTAATTGATTTTTAGGAGACAATTATATGTGTTGTTATGGCATTTGGAGTTTATTTTTATTGATCCCAATTCTTTAGCTTTAAGCTGTAAATTATAATATTTATTTTTTCAATTGTATACCTTATTGAATTATCAGAACCTGATATAATTAATAAAGGTTTGCTCATTAAGAAATTCATTGAAGACATTAATTCACCATGGGTCCCTTCATTACATATAAAATTTTTTGATTATGAAAGACCCTATAGGAAAGAATGCTATACTAATGTTTGTATTATGTTAATTGCTTTGCAAAGTTGGCACCATGGCGCAGCTTTTAAAGAGTGACAGAGCCGTGTAACAGGAAAAAATTTTTGGTCATTTCTGTCCGCCCCATTTTCGCCATTTCTACCCTGACACAGCATATATAAAGTAAAAGTCACATTATCATGCCCACGCTTTTTAAGTGGACCCAGACAAAAATAAATTTTCTGGCATAGAACAATTATAATTGTCTGCGGTCTTATAATGCGTTAAGAAATCAACCATTTACTAAAATAACTTAGTCTAAATATTCAAAAAAAGTTGAATTCTACAAGTAACCGTAAAACTTTCGTAATTAATAAACATATTAAACCTGAAAATATAATTTCACTACACATTAAAACAGTTGACAGAATTCATTAATACATGTAAGATATATTGGTGATGATGATAATAATTCTTTAGTTTTAGAAAAAACTACTATAAGGCATGGATTGATTAGTGGCAGCAATTTTACTTACATGCTTTTAATAATCATCAACATTTATCTTTATCTTTAATGATATTTGGTTAACTATTGCTCAAGAAGTATCTGATTGATTATATTAACATAAACGCGGAAAAATTAAGACATAAATTTGTCAAGAATAAAGGTCAAGAATATTTGGAGATTGAAGCGAGGGATATTTTGAATTTTAAACAGCAAGCTGGTATATTAGAAGGAGAGTGGGATGAAGTGGTTAGTCGAAACTTGAAAGAAACAGAAATTAAAAATTTTGTTGGAATGTAATTTTTCTACTATATAGTACGTACATAAAGTTCTATTATACTCGGTAGAATTGTATTGTTGGACGCTTTTAAATTGTTTTTCTGGTGTGGGTGTGGCGTTACAAGAGTGACGTTGGAGGGAACTTTGGACGATTGGTTGAAATCGCAAGAAATAAGAAAATTATATTTTTGGTTAGGGCTATTTCGAAATTAGTTGACACTTATAAAGATAATGTTTATGAAAGATTCTGAAATCATCAGCTACCTATAAATACCATAGCATATATGGGCCGGAATATGATAGTGTGATCCAAATTCTAATGATTATAGACGTGTATCAGGATGGATTACTGCAACAAATGAAAAACGGAAAGTTCAAGGTGATCATATTGAACTGTATGATTTTCCCGACGATAGAGTTAAAATTGATGTGCGGAACACTCGTTCTGAGCGTAATGATTTATTTGTGCACGAAATCAAATTTTGTAGGCTTAGTGTGTGAATTCAGTTAGACCAAGTTTATAATATATAAATCAAATTTTTCCACTTTTTATATACGCCATTCGCATTAATACTGTATTTAAGCTTTTGAAAAAGTATTCGATAATGGATAAATTTGTTATTTGCAAAGTAAACTCCGAAAATAAAGAAAAAAGTAATGAAGGATCCAAACAGGTAACACACAAAATTAAATAAAGAAGATTTTGACCCAAATTGGTTACAAATTTTATCCTTGGCTTAAATAAAGTGAAGATAGTAATTGAAAGGTGACAATTTTTTGTGAAAATGCAAAAAAGAAAAATATTTTACCGAAAGCAAACAGGTATATAAATAAATAAATATTTATCAATGGTTTCCTAATTTGTTATTTTATTATTATGTAAAATTACTGATTGCATACTAGTTTACTATTACAAATAATGTGTCGTCAGCGCACTTTAATATGATGATGATCGGTATTGAATTATATGATTTTCCCGACGGCAGAGTTAAAGTAATATTCACCACTGATATCGAATATGCTAAAAATCAGTATTTATTGGTGGATTTATGGGGGCCAAACAAAAATTGGTTAATGACAAAGTAATTGTTTCACATATTATTTTGGTTGGCTACTCTTGATAATTAAAACAGTTATGTGGCATGCGAAACTCGAAAATAATTATTCTTTTATTAAAACTATAGTAATAATAATAGTTATATGTAAAATCAGATTTGATGATTTTTTAAACATCTTTTAATTTTTTTTTAACAATTAAATTTTTTGATTGAAGAATAAATAAGCTTCATTTGGAAATGCCGGTTTTATTAATTTTTTTAGGTTGTGTCAAACTGAGGTTGAGATAATTTGTCTTTATAAATATGGAGTTGAATACGTAAGACACTTGACCTTCCAAAAACTACAGTTATTTGAACAGTACGAATTTTTCAAAAGGGAGGCTGTGTTAAATAAATTATTCAAAAGCTGGAAGGCCACAAATGTCCAGTTTAATTAATACTTGCTGCCCAAACTATAGTTCAATACTATTTGGGTGTAAAAGCTTGCAAACCCCTGAAATACTGTGGACAGTACAAATTTAGTAATTTTTACAAATCTGTACCTATATGTGTCATCCAATTCATGAAATTCAAGGATTTTGGGGCTTGGCATTCCGAGTTTGGGTGACAGGTATAGTTATAACTGGTTACAGGTTTGCACAAAGTCTAGAAGCTTTCAGTGAATTTAAGTGTTTCTTTTTTTTTAGAGAAGAAGCAAACCTGCCCATTGGCAAAACTAGAGACAAACCTGCTTTAAATTGGTGCTTAGATAAAAAGGGTTGGAGTACTCAGAAATAGAAAACCATCATTTGGAGCAGGGTTGGTGTTGGACATTCTCCAATGTGCCTCGTGAACATCCTGGACATGTCCAATACACATTCAATGTCTGTGTCCAACTTACACTATTGGACATCGGACAATACATTATTTCAAAATGATGTACCAGATCGTGTATGAAGGACATATAATGAATGAATTTTGGAAAACAAATACAAAAAAAGGCCTCTAAAAGGATGAATAGGAACCTGAGTCTATCTATGGACAGAAATTAGTTTTCTGGATTGGTTGAAGAATTAATAGAATACGTGGCATAATATTTTGAAGGGCAAATCACATTACAAAGGTTCACTATGAAGAACAACTTTTAGATGATGAATTACCAACACTGGAAATTAAAACTGGTGTACAAATCCAAATCTGTTAAATCTCTAATCAATCATCAGAAAAACCGGGTCATTACCATTTTTTAACAATAATAAATAATTGAAACTAGAATACACTCCAAGGATTGGCAAAAAATATAGATTAAAGGAAACTAATAATAAAAATAACTAGGTCATAAGATGCATAGAAGGAATAAACTGCCAAAATAATAATAAATAATTTGCATGTTCAATAGCCAATTAGTTTTAGGTTTAATTCGTCATCAATATGATCTGTATCACCCACAATGTATGCATATGTCGGATGATATCATCGCCATCGCCTAACCATAACAGGGTTAACCTCATGCCCGTGTGTTTCCGTAGTATGAAAATATTAATATATAAATCCACCATTTATCCGTTAATTATAAAAAGTCTGTGTAAATAAACAATGGATTATCCAACACCGACTTTATCAGAGTTAAAGAAACAAACTGCATTGGGACGATCAACGATTGAAAAGGTCATAGAAGGATTTCTTTCTTCATATCATAATGGTTTAACAAAAGACCATTCTACAATGATACCATCGTACGTTACTTGTCTCCCAATAGGCATAGAGACTGGCAGCTGTCTTGCCTTGCATTTGGGTGGCACAAATCTAAGAGTGGCAATGGTAATATTGGTAGGTCCTGGTAAAACTGAGTTGGTGCATAAACAATATAAAGTTCCTGACGAATTAAAAACAGGAACAGCCGAGCAATTATTCGATTGGGTGGCATTATCTGTTAAAGAGTTATTGGATGATTTGGGTTATGATGATTTGGATATCGATGATCTGGCGGAGGAGGATTATAACTCTAAAGTATTATGCACAGGCGTTACTTTTGGTTTTCCAATAAAGTAAGAATTTCATATATATATATATTAATTAAAACGCTGTCATATTTTAATTAATATAAAAAAAGATTTAATTTAAAATAATTGATAATTAGACAAACCGCAATTAACCGGGGTTTTGCTATGCAAATGGGAGAAAGATTCAAAGGGTTAGAAAGTCATGATTTAGTCGAATTATTACAAGCTGCATTTTTTAGAAAGGTTATTTATTGTTATTGTTATTGTTATTATTATTATTATAATTAAATATTTATTAATAACTTTTTTTTTTTATTTTAGAATTTCAGAGTTCGCATTTCAGCCATAGTCAATGATGCGGTTGGCACACTTGTGGCAAGTGCTTACAAAGATCAAAATACCATTGTTTCAGTGATTTTAGATACAGGAACTAATGCTGCATGTATTTCTGAAACTTCATCAATTTCAAAAATCAAATTTCCATCAAGAACACCAGAATATATGATTGTTAGTACTGAATGGAGTATAATGGGTGCTGACTTCTTACCTTTTATAAAGTATGACAGGATCCTTGATCTGCAAAGTAAAATCCCAGGATTTCGACCTTTTGAAAAAATGGTTAGTGGAATGTATTTAGGTGAATTGGTGAGACTAACAATTGTTGATTATGTGAAAACTTTTAATTTGTTTGGTGGGTTCTTACCAGGAGGGATGGAAATACCATATAATTTTTCAATTACGCAAATGTCTGATATTGAAAGGTATGATTATGATCAATTCTGTGACCATAAATCTTGAATTCCCCAAAACAATTTCGGGAGAGAATCCACGCTAGACCTAAACCTAAACCACCCTAAATCAGTTTCGGTGGTTTCGGGGTCATAGCATTGATTATGATTATTTATTTAATTGGAGCTTTTAGTAATTAAATTTTAATTATTGAATTTAGTGACAAAACAGCTGATTGTTCAGGAATATTAAAAGTTTTATTAAAAGGATTTAGATTTCCTGATGGTAAAAGGCCAAATAAAGGAGATATGAAAATAGTGACTGAAATTGTAAAAGCGTATTCTAGACGTTCGGCTCAACTATCAGCTATAGCTGTTGCTTCATTGATTAAACTGCAATGTCCAGATTTTCCTTCAGTTGAACGAGATATCAGAGTAGCAATTGATGGATCATTGTATCATAAATACTATAAATATTCTAGTCAAATGAGCAAATATTTAAGAGATCTTCAAGGAATCCATGTAGATAAAAGAACCAAATTAAGTGAAATTAAAAATGGTGGATTCATCGGTTCTGCAATAACTGCTATGATGTATTAATTCCATATATACATAGATTTATATTATTAAGTATTTAGATTTAATGTGTACATAACAAATAATATAATAAATATAATATTGGTGAAAAAAGTTTTAATTAATTATTGTGTAATTTATAAAGTTTTCTACTTCCGTTGCTTCAGAATAGCTCTTTAGTTTTCGACTAGTTTTAATTGACTTAAAAAACTTGTTCAATATCAATTTTAACAAACTTAAATCAAGACTCGTGCTTTCCCACTTTCTTTTCGAAAAGTTCATTATTACTTTGGTAATCACCAAGTGAATAAATAATGTCGCCAAGATACTTCCACTTCTTTGTAAATTGTGACTATTTGACATTTAAAAATTAATTTTGAGACACTAACACGTAAAAAGTCTATGTGCATTTACGTGATCATATACATTTATTTACGCGAATTGAATACAAACTTTTTTTAAAACCCAAGGGAGATATAACGTTAACCGAAAAATTAGATTTATGCGGCTTAATACTATAAAATGCCTAATAAATTTTTTAAAAAATTAATTACTGAATTTGTTTGCTTATTACAGTATTAGTAAATTTTTCTTTGATAAAATTCATTAATTTAACAACTTATTGTTAGAAATGTTCGAATAAAAATATCGAGTTTCTGCCAATTCTTTTTTTTTTTTTTTTTTTTGAAATTATAAAAAACAAATATGGTTGGCTCGGTCTAAGGATCTCCTATTGCGGCACCATACGGTCCAATTTTCAAATAAAAAATAGGACTTCACATGGTTTTAGTTTTAAAAAGAATAAAACTCTACAACAAATAATTTTTTTGAGAAAATCTCATTATTACATTAAAGTTAAAGCCATATTCTGTCAACTAATAACGCTATTTTTTTAAAGGTAGGAAAGAAAGTGACTTCTATACTTTTAAAATCTTTGCAAAATTTACAATAAGCCCATTCTAAAGATTTTCTTTATATTAAACATCATTTCAGCACCTCAGAACGCTGATCACTTTTGCCAAGAAAAAATTCTCAGATAGTTAACAGTATATTTTTATTTTACATACAAATTGCTAAATGAAATATATAAATTTCAACTATATAATTATATACCAATTTACTGAATCTAAACTAAAATTCTCTCATATATCAAAAAATTTCTATTATTATGACTTATTACTTTTTCGGAGTCCACCATAGTTCACAAATATATTTGGACTTACAATGAACAAGTTTGTTCATAACAAGATCGTTATTGTTGCTGAAAATATCATCAAACGCATTGTGTATACTTACTTTACTTTCCACTATCTCGTTCGTTTGGATGTACTTATCCTATGCAAAATGTCAAAAAGTTAAACATGTAAACCTTTTTAATGAACAAATGAAATATCATAAGCTCACCATAACAAACTTGATAATATTAACAGCCGATTTTAAATTTTCGATATGTCGCAGTTTTGTGGGAAATTCAAATGTCGGACCGGGAAATACAACGTAAAAACCCTCAACTAAATCTTCGACCAACATTTGACCACTTGTACTAGCAACCTGCAAAAAAGGAACGTTTATTTTTTTTGCTTGTTCATCATTCAAGTTTCTATTTAACAACCCGTTTAAAATTGATTGATTTATCCGTCCAGATCGGCAACGGTCACCAATCGCTTTTTGTGCCGTTAAGTTTGACGCGAATTCCCACTCTCCTATATCTACACCTGATGTAGATAAAAAACGTACATCACATTTTCGACCTTTGTGGTATTCTATGCTTTTAGTTAACGGGCAAAAAGATTCCCCCCTTTGATACATAAAATTATGGTGTTAATAACTCGTGAAAGCATAATCATATCTCATTATTGATTCATTCACACAAACCATTTTTGGCGTATCACAAGGTCTTTATTCAATCCTTCAATGATATATGAACACGTCTTAAGAATTACATCGATTTCTGTATGACCATAATCTAACATATCTACCCGGTCTTTGCATCTATAAATACTGAACACAAAATTAAATCACGAAAAGAAAGAATAAATAATAGAAAAAATATGTAGTATGTCAAATTACTCACAAGTCGGAATATATTTTACTAAGCTTGTACATATAGCTGTTCTCTTTGGAATCAATGTGCGTCTCAATACAAAACTTATACGCCTCGTTTGCTTTTTGTTCACATATCATCTGTATAAGGATAATGAGTCAATATTCATGTACATAAGAACAAGTAAACTCGAAAAAAATACACATACATTCTCAACGGTTGTTACAAATGAGCTTTCTTCAACTGCCATCCCAGGAACTTGCAATATAGCATTGTGATTTTTCATCATGAATTTCCTGTCATCAACAGAGAACCAATCCTTCATATTCGTCGATAAATCAATTATTCGTGATGATCCGTAACGTAATATGGCTCTTTCTATGGCTGATGTTTTCTTCTTCTTTTGAATTACTTTTGCATTTGTGGATATGTTTCTGGCAGTAATATCACCAACATTTTTACCAGAGGGCAGAATCCATTTTTTTTGACTACCAAGTATAGAATCGAGAATTTCTTCAGGAGCTGGGACATCTTCGTCGTCATCTTGTTCGTTATCCTCGCCATCGTGCTCTTCGGAGGAATCTTCTTCATCTGGAAACAGGTCAAGAGGAGCCGATTTCTTAATTTTAGTTCCATCTGGTAAAGTATTCCCCTAAAGAAATTAAACTCGATTACTTCTGTAAAAGGTTTTTTTTTGCGGACAAAAATTTAAGCTATATACCAACCCTTTTTCTTGATGACGCTTTCTTTTTTTGTGATTCAACTGACTCTTCTTCATGAGAACGGACTCGCTTACGTTCTAGCAATATTGCCAATATTCATCACTATTCAGAGAAGAATACATATATATATGAAAATTAAATGTATTACCAAAATGTAATTTATCTTGCGTGATACTGAAAATTGTATTGCTGACGTCCTCATGTAATTCTGAAACTCGACCAATCATCTTGTTAGTATTGAGGTTCACCGCCGTATTCAATGTTTCTAAAAAAGATGGACAATTCCTCCAGAAGATGTCGATTTTAACTGAATTTGCCTCTTTCTAATGAATAAAATAGAAAAGAACAAAAACCCATTCGGACGTATCCTAAAAGTGCCCGATAGACGTATCCATCGGCTGTCAGACGTATCCTAGCACTTTCTGGGTAAATTAATAACAAATCACGTTGCAAAGAAGTTATGCCCATTCAGACGTATCCTAAAGGTACCCGATAGACGTATCCATCGGCTGTCAGACGTATCCTAGTACCTTCTGGGCTCTTCATGATTAAAAATAAACAAAAGTTTCAACCTTAAATTCCTTTAAAGCTTCTTCTGCTAACTCCCGAGCTGTTTCACCATCACGAGGTTCTAATAGTTTCGGGTCATTCAAAATTGCTTCTAAATACGTCCTGTAGGCACGATGTTCCATATCTTTATTTCCGAAATCGGTGGCATAGAACATACTCCAATTGAGAAAACCTTCCAAGTCCCATGAAACATTATTTTTAAAGTAGTGAAGCCTTGATATACTAATCATTTCAACTATTTATACTTGGTTTGATTCGAATGAGATAATTTTTTGCAAGCAGATGTTCTTACAAACTTAAAAATCAAGATATGGGATGTCCACCAGCAAAAAGGGGGTCTGAGACTATTAAATTGTTATCAAAACAAAAATTGGTTACACGAATAGTTTTGATATGTAAAGTAAATATTTTCAAATCTTGTATCTCATTATTGTACTAGGTAAACATGTTCTAAATTTTTCACCAACTACATAGGTAAACTCGATAAGTCAGCCGTGCATGGCTGAGCATGTTTGGCTGACTTATCGAGAGAACTGACTTATCGAGACCGTCTTACAAAGAACACGTGACATAAAAATTTTTTGTGTTAAAAATTTTATTATTATAAAATTAAATAAAAATTACAAATAAATAACGAAATAAATAAATAATAAAACAGATAAAAATATGAAAAAAAATTTTTTTTTTATTCTAAATAAATATCCATGCTAGATTGTATTGAAGAAGTTGCATGTTTTCTACTAATTTTCCATTTTAAATCTCTCAATCCCGAAACAAATAA